TGAGTGGAGGGCGGCCAACCCCAACCTGCCGCGGAGGTAGTATAAAGGATCTATTTAAATCCGGATGTTTTCCTGTTTAGATTCAATTCCGGAGGTTTTTGATCGTGGGCGGCCGGACGCCATGCTTTGCGGAGGTAGTATAATGTACCTGTTCGGTTGTTTAATTACGTGCCTGGATGTTTAAAAAGCGTCGCCGTACGTTAAGCCAGCACAGCAGGTGTAGATGATGAGCTAGACAATACTCTTACTTGGACATCATGACAAGCCGCAACGAAAACCTGCACCTGCGCCATGCGTCTTTGAACTTGACAGGGTGTGGAAGTCTGCGTGCAGAAAGGCGCGGATGTGAACGCCTCATACGTGCTGGCCCTAGCCGGGACAAAAAAGACACAACCAATCCTTGGCCGCTATGTGTTTCAGTTGGGACGTTCCACCCGGATGAGGATGGATAGTCGCTAGATTTCTCAGGGCCATGGGCCATCCTGGATTTTCACACAAGTGACTTATGGTTCTAGCTCTTTAGGGGCTATAGTGGCTATAGCCCACCCCAACTTTGAGTCCGTTTCCAGATCTGACTCAAAAGCAGTGGAGTCAGCATCAAAAGATTGTGCAGCGGGGCCGTCTATCCAACACATACGAGTTCATGTGTATGGGGTCTGCAATACATGAGGCGAAGCAGCGGGTCAGTTGTCCAGTTCAACTTCATCCTAAACGAGTCTTTTTGGGTGGTCATGCTCTTTCTGCTAGAATCCTGCTACGCACAGCTGACGTGAGGTCAAGGACACAGTTGCCATGCATAAACCAACGGGGCAATCCGGATACGCAGCATACAACCTGGTGTAGCCAATAGGGTTAGCGAATCCAAAAAATCATCCGTGCCTCCGGTTGCTACTCAGGCGGGCCCCTTCCGGAGCAGCAACGGCAGCACTGTGATGGAGAAGCCTGGCACTTACGTTCTACTGTGCTGATGGCCGTGCTCTGCTTCAATCTTTTCTATCCTACCATGACTTTTTTCCGAGTTGCAGTACTGAGTTGGAGACGTTTTCATTCAACAATCATTGAAGGGGGCGGCGGGGCCCCGTCCCTAGCGCAGGCGTGTTCGGGGGCATTTGTGGCTTCGTCTAGCTGTGTAGTGGTTTGCGCGAGCCCTCGCCAGGAAATGCACCAACTGTTGAAGTTCTGTTCCATTATGTATATGGATCATGGATACCTATTCGGCTCCCAACCACACAGTCCATCCTCATCCTCCTTAAAGTTCCTGTTAATACACAGACCAGAACACTTGCGAACACGACGTTACTTCGCTTCCTGGCAAGCTGCGAGGAATGGCGTTCCTCTGCTGAGGGCCACCACCTCAGAAGCCTCCAAGGAATGGGTTTAGGGTTTACTGTTTAGGGTTTAGGGTTTAAGGATTAGGGTTTAGGGTTTAGGGGAGAAGGAGAAGTGTTGCGGGTATTGCTGAGTCTACCCATCCCTGAGCAGGTCTGAGCCCGGCTTTTCTCATTGCCCTAAGCCAGCCAGAATGGAATTTCTACGTTTTCTCCTCGGGCAATGCTATTACCATCAGTACAGCCATGAACATGTTCATGCCTGCTGGATTTGAGCAGCTTATGACAGTTGTTTTCTTGAGCTTTGAGGAGAAATAGTTTTTGCTGCTTCAGTTCCCATGCCATCTCCCCCTCAAACTCGAAACCTAGAACCCTTTTTTGGGGTCCTCCAGACTGACAGCGACAGGAAGTTACAAAGAGAGTCGCCTCCACAAATCCTGGAGTCAATCCGCCACAAGACTCTGAAGTGGCCAAACATCCCGAATCCCAAGCCCAAGAAGTTCTGTCGAGGTCGCAGTGTCAACCCAGGGTGCGGCACAGTGCACAATTTGCCAAGCTCTCAGGGTGTGATGAAAAGGCTCCTAGGATGTTGCAAGTCCCGTCAGTACTTTGGCTTAAGGAAGCGAGTGATGATCGACCCTAAGTTCTTGTAGATTCAAGACACTTCCCTGGTTTTCGCTACTGATCTCTTACGAGAAGCCACGGCAGGGTCGGCATTCAGGTTCCCCGAGGGTCAGGCTTTTGGATGCTATGCGGCTAAACACAGTCATAGGGCTCTTAGGGCCTGCAGCCTAGGCCAGCACCTCCTTTCCGGGAAGGTGCGCGGGAGGCCTGCAGTCTGAAACACTTTGTCTTCGAAAAGGTACTTGCCAAAAATGAAGGGCTCCCGGGGGCCACAGGGATATACAATGACTACAAGGGGTTACATTGTCTGTCCCGGTTACGGACTAATTAAAGGGAACTTTCAAGAGCTGTGCACACCTCAGGAAAGGAAAATGCGGGTTCGGAGTTGTAAGGGAATCGTAGAAGGCGCCCGGGCAGCTGGGAACGTCCTAAAATGGCATTTAGAGTTGCACATGCGCATGTGTGGGGGCAGGTTTGTGGAGCGTGATGAGTGTGAGTTTCAGTGAGCCCTTACCCCCTGCATGTAGCATAAACGTCATGCAATACTGCGGCTGTTCAGCTTCAGGGACCACAGGGTGCAGAGCAGATGAACTGCTCAGATGAAGAATATTAACAAAAAGTGGGCGTGAGCAGGGATTTGTGTTTGCTAACCTTGCTGGTGGAGGGAAGTGTTTGGCATGTCAAGTGCTTATGCAATCTGGCCTCCCCTCACCAGATGCCAAGCAGCAGGCTCCATAGTCTTCGCAGGGCTTGGTAGGTAGTCTTCAGTCTGCACACCAGCCGGAAGCCTCCCAATTAGGACAGTTATCTGCTCTCTGCTGCGAGAAGCACCATGTTGCCCGCTATGTATGCTTCGTAACAGACCTGAAATCATGACCACAAAAAGTCAGAGAAATGAAATGGTGGTAAAAGTCATGAGTCAGCTCCTGTGCCCAGCTAAGCGCAGGACCTTCCAGTCCGTGCGGAAGAAGGCGAAGGCACCTGAAACTAAGAGTTCTTTTCGCCTTTATATGACCCACAGTTTACTTTTGTGGCACATGGGCTTTTTGCAATGTCACTGCCTGTGGGACTTGCAACACATGCAAGCTCTACACCGCTACCCGCTACCCTTTTGCAATGTATTTTTGTCTGCAGTTTATCAGCAAGGGGAACCTGCCTTGCGCTCCGAACTTTCGGTCATTGCTTTTTGCCACTGGCTGGCTTTAATGGTTCGCATACTAGCCCCAGCAAGAGAAAGCTCCGACAGCTGCTTTTACCCTACGCTGTCGGTTTGGCCTCACAGCAGCACGCAGCGTGTGGGGAAGCAGTGTCAGTTCTGCGGTTGACTCGCCAGCCCAGACTAAGCCCGTCTACAAGGGCGTTCAGAACTTGCAGGATGATCATCATCAGGTACGCGAAGCAGCTTAACAGAGTTTCACTTCTCAGCAAGCTAAGTGTCAGTGCTCGGCAATGTCACGCTTTGCCCTTGAAATCCGGAAAGCGTTACACCTCAGAAAACTGTTCATGATGGTGATCTCCTTGCTTCAGGGACCTTATCCTACATGACCGCAGGATGAAATGGACTTCGTGACGCGCCGCTTCTTCGACAGCTATTCGGGACCTTTTGCAGACAGCTAGGGCCGAAAATGCTGATGCCTGCTACATTGGCAGCCTGCAGGATGGTGTGTTGGGTTGACATGGGGTAAGAGTCATGATGAAAAAGTCCTGCTTAGGCGGCAGGTCTCAGAACCCAGGTTTGTTTCTATAGGGCTCCAGGAAGTTGACCTATTCCAGAGATTTGGTTCAGAAAGTTGCTCATGGTGGCGCCATGGTACTTGCGGACGTGTCTCTGTGAACTGCACATTAGTGTGTCCGTTGCATTGCAAGGCTTGGATCTGAAGAGCACCGCAAGTCTGGCAGAGCAACATGAGTGAAAGCCCAACAGATGGATCTTCCGTGGTTCTCGGAATGTTTTGGCATGTGAACAGTTTGGAACATCAGCCATTTTGGGCTCAGAAGTCAGAACTTTTGGGCTTGGAGGCTTCAGGTCTTGGCACCGGCATTTGCAGCACGCAGTGTCAGATGTAGGTGGCAGTTAGTGCCATTCTGACGGCTCAAACACAGTCACTACCCCACCCTCCTGTATTTTTTTTGAAGGCAAAACAGAGCATTAGCCTCATGTCTGTTGAGTAAGCTATTCCAGTCGTTCCCATCAACTCGTTGTTCAAACATGTCACAAGCACACGTCTTAAGTTAAAAGCAAGATCCGAAGCAATTGCACTGCCCGTGCAGCTGCTACGTTGCAGAGCTAACAGGACAGAGATTTTGTTTGCGCTGTGTGTGATCTTTTGGAAATGGTCCCAAGCCTTTGCAACTTCGGAGGGGGCATGCAAGCCAAGGAGTCTGGAGGTGCTCGTCGAAGAAATGAGATTGAGGTCGTTTGAACCCTTCACCCTCAACAGCGGCTGATCTTGCTAACAGTGGTTGCATGCGTGCAGGTATTAGCATAAGAGGGGATGGTAGCCGCAAATTGTTATGCCTCCCGTGTCCTTCTGCATGACGTTCTGTTCGTGGCATTTCTCGTTCCCCCATATGTGTAGAAGAGTGAGGAGCTAGCTAGCTCATTAAAGATAAGGATCAGTTCTGGGACCCCGTGTATGAGGGTCTGATGCAGATACTTGGACGTATATAGGGCCAGAGACTTTCGAAATGTGAGCCCAGCCTCCAGCAGACTTCATGCAAGCACGGCTTGCAAAGTTTGGTAGGAGCTTCCGAGGATTTCTTGCACGGCCCACTGTAGCCAATGGATTCAGGGGGTTTATGGCTAGGTGCACTAGGCTCTGAAACCCTGACAGTCAATGAAACCTGAGGTATGGAAAGTTGATTTGTCTTCGTATACCTATTCTGTTGCACCAGAAACACCTAAAGACTAGCACCCGAGACTCTAACCATTTACTCTAAACTCCACGCAGATGCACAAAAATGAAAGACCCCCGCGCTGTCTCAGTTTCCCCATGAACCGCAGGCAACCTAAACACCGTTCGTGCCGCAGGATTTTGTTGGCATGTTCAAGGCGCTAGACGAGCGGATTGAGGCACATCCGTTAAGTTGGCATGAAGGTGTGATGCCTGGGTATTGGGTGTGAGGTTGGGGCTGAAGAGCTAGTGTTTACTGAGTCGAAGGTGCAGGGTTCAAGTCAGGGCAAGAGAAGCGCGCCTTTGGACAGCATATCTGACAGGCGTGGTTCCCAGAATCGGAGGAGGAAGCAGCAGCCAAAACCAGCAGCACTACAGGGCTACGACTTGAGACAATGTTAGAACCCGTTGCGTGAGTGAGACGCGAAGCTTTGGGAGCTGCGCATGTGCTTACGGAAGCAAGAACGCCAAGGCAGTGCCGCCAGATCACGTTTCCTAGGAGGCCATTACTTCAGAAAACAGACTTCTATCCTGTTTTTGAATTGAAAACCCGTGCGTTTGCAAGCGAAGAGAGCCGCAGCAACAACAAGACAAGGTACTCGTAGCATGATTACTGATAACAATGTTCTCGCTGCTGCCAAGAAGTGCCCCTGTTGAAGCACAAGCCACACAAATCCCCAAAAGCGTTACCTCCAAGCAGCCAAGCTGCCACAGGAAGAGATCATCCTCGGAAACGTCTCGGATGTGTGCTTTGGTGTGGGGCAGGATGAGGCCTGTGGCGAATTCCTCGCCGTACTAGTAATAATGTCATGGGTTTAAGCTTTAAGGTTTAGGGGTAATATAGGGATCATGGACAAGAACATGGAA